ATCTTATATCTGCTCCCTGATCTCTCTGCGAATTGAAAGTACTTATTGCCTGAGATCGCATGCTGTGATTTTATTAAATGTGCCAAGTGCTAGGACTGTCTTAGGGAAGAAAGCTTTTAGATGTGCAGCTCCACTAACATGGAACAGTCTGCAAAAAGAATGGAAAATTACCAAGCTAGTACCACTACATGTTTTTAAAGCTCGGTTGGATGCTACAAAATCAGATGCTGTTGGTACCTGTACTTGTGGTTAGATATGTAAATTGTAATCCCTGTACATTTTGCTGTATGATGTCCTTTTGTTGTTCTGTTGTTTATGTCTTCTTGTGGAACCTACTGCTGCAGGTCTCCCTTGAAAAAGAGATCATTGATCTCAATGGGATTTTACCTGGATAAATAAAGGTTTTGAATTGAATTGAATAAACAACAATTTGACAATGAAGGTGAATCTGTTGATCAAAAGAGGTATTGTGAAGTGGTAGGCAGCTTGATTTATGTGATGACATGTACTAGACCTGATCTAAGTTTTATTGTCAGTAAGTTGTCTCAACACTTATCCGAACCAAAAGAACAGCATATGGTAACAGCAAAACATGTGTTGAGATACTTGAAGGGAACTGTAGACCAGGAGTTGTGTTACAAGAGAAGTGATTCAAAACTAAAACTTGTTGCATATTGTGATGCTGATTGGGCAGCAGATCAAAATGACAGACGGAGCACAGCTGGGTACTGTTTTAGTCTCTGTCAGACAGGACCTGTTATTTCCTGGAAATCTAAGAAACAGCCTACAGTTGCTTTATCCACATGTGAAGCAGAATATATGGCATTGGCAGCTGCTACACAGGAACGTTTTTATCTTGTGCAATTATTAAAAGGAATGGACAGTGGAAATGATTATGCACCAGTGACAATCTTTGAGGACAACCAAGGGGCAATTGCACTATCAAAGAATCCTGTGTGTCGTCAAAGGTGTAAACATGTTCAAATATCATTTTGTTCGATCTGCAGTTAGTGATGGAAACATTATTATTGAATACTGCCCAACAACAGAAATGGTAGCTGATATTTTAACCAAGCCTGTAACAAAGGGCATGATTGAAAAGTTTGTGTATTTCATTTTTGGTGTTGATGGTTCAAATGAAAAAAAAGTGTAAATGTATGTCAAAGGTTGTCAGAATAAGATCAAGTGGGGGTGTTGAACTGTTGTGAACGATTCATCTCATGAATGCTCTTATGCTGACGTCATATCTGTCAATCTGTCAATCACACAGCTGGTTCTAATAAAGGGATCATTGCTGGCTCACTCGGAGAACTCAGTCAGTGTCATGTGAACTACAATGCAAGTGTGTGGCGTCTTTTATTTCTCCGTAGTATTAGTCCAAGGCTATCTAGACCTTTGCTGGTAATGGCTGCTGCGCCAACACCCTGTATCGACTTTCGGGGTCTTAATGACATTACGATCAATAATCGATACCCACTGCCTCTTATCTCTTCTGCATTCGAGTTGCTGCAGGGAGCAACCATATTCACCAAGCTGGACTTGGGTAACGCGTACCACTTGGTACGTATTCGCGAGGGGGATGAGTGGAAGACCGCCTTCAACACCACCTCTGGGCACTACGAGTACCTAGTCATGCCTTTTGGGCTTACCAACGCCCCTGCAGTATTCCAGGCGTTGGTAAATGACGTGCTCCGAGACATGATGGACCGACACGTGTTTGTTTACTTGGATGACATCCTGATCTTTTCCAAGACGCTGAAAGAACACGTGCACCACGTCCAGGCGGTTCTCAGGAGATTGCTCGAGAACTCGCTGTTTGTTAAAACGGAGAAGTGCGAGTTTCACACATCCTCTGTCTCTTTTCTGGGATACATCGTGGGACAGGGGAGCATCGAGATGGATCCTTCCAAGGTTGATGCAGTCACTTCCTGGCCGGTTCCAGAATCCCGGAAGCGGCTACAACAGTTCCTCGGGTTCGCCAACTTCTACCGGAGATTCATTCGTGGATACAGTACCTTGGCCGCTGCTCTCACAGCCCTGACCTCCTCTAAGGTTATGTTCCAGTGGTCCTCCTCGGCTGAGGAGGCGTTCCAGAACCTTAAGGCCAGGTTCACCTCCGCCCCCATCCTCCGAGTACCCGATCCTGTAAGACAGTTTGTTTTGGAGGTGGATGCTTCTGATATGGGGGTGGGAGCCATCCTGTCTCAGCGAGCAATGAACAGCCAAAAACTCCATCCCTGTGTTTTCTTTTCAAGGCGTTTGACTCCAGCGGAAATAAATTATGATGTGGGAAGCCGGGAGCTGCTAGCAGTGAAGTTGGCTCTGGAGGAGTCGCGTCACTGGCTCGAGGGGACCAGTCAACCTTTCCTGGTGTGGACCGACCACAAGAATTTGGAGTACATCCGGACGGCCCGCAGATTGAATTCCCGACAGGCTAGATGGGCCCTTTTCTTCACTCGGTTCAATTTCTCCCTCTCCTACCGCCCTGGTTCTCGGAACATTAAGGCTGACGCTCTTTCTCGTCAGTTTGGAGAGGGAGGTAACATTCCCACGGGCTTGGACACCATCCTTCCGACTCCTCAGCTCGTCGCCGCCCTCATCTGGGAGGTGGAGGAGAGGGTCAAGGCCGCCCAGCAGGACCAGCCGGGACCCAGTGCCTGTCCACCGAACCGCCTGTTCGTTCCGCAGACGTTGAGGTCTGATGTTATCCAGATGGCTCATAACTCCAGACTCACCTGCATTCCTGGGATCCAACGTACATGGGAGGTAGTCCAGCAAAGGTTCTGGTGGGCAACACTTAAGGAGGACACCAGGGAATGTGTTAATGCCTGCCCTGTTTGCAATCAAAACAAGTCTTCTCACCAAGCTCCTGCTGGTGTCCTACGACCTCTGCCTATCCCTCATCGCCCCTGGTCTTACATTTCTCTGGACTTTGTTACTGGTCTGCCACCGTCCAACGGACACACTGCCATCTTGACGGTGGTAGACCGATTCAGTAAGATGGCTCATTTTGTGCCCATACCCAATCTCCCCTCAGCTAAAGAGACGGCGGAGCTGGTCCTGCTCCATGTGTTCCGGCTCCATGGGCTGCCTACTGATGTGGTTTCCGATCGTGGTCCTCAATTTACCTCGGTGTTCTGGAGGGAATTCTGCACGCTCCTTGGGGCCACGGTCAGTCTGTCATCCGGTTTCCATCCGCAATCCAACGGTCAGACAGAAAGAAAGAACCAGGAGATGGAGACCCAGCGGCCTGGGCTAAACAACTGCTCTGGGTCGAGTACGCCCACAACACTCTGGTCAGTTCGGCCACCAAGCTGTCCCCATTTCATTGTGCTTACGGGTTTCAACCCCCTCTGTTTCCGTCCCTGGAGAGGGAGGTTACCTGTCCGTCCGTCCAGGCTTTCATCCGTCGTTGTCGACGGACCTGGAATCAAGCCCGGAGAACTCTCGTTTGTTCGGCCAACCGGTACGCCTCCTCTGCCAACCGCCGAAGTTCCAAAGCACCTGTCTACCAGGGGGGCCAAAAGGTATGGCTTTCCTCCCGGGATATCCCTTTACGGGTGGATTCGAAGAAGCTTGCACCTAGATTAATTGGACCTTTTGATATTGTCAGGATAATTAATCCCACAGCAGTAAGGCTAAGAAAAAAACCTGTCCGGGAGAGTGCCTTGGTTCCTGCGGTCCCTCCCCCACCACCCCCCCGGATGATTGACAGCGGGCCTACGTACACTCTCCGACGACTTCTTCGTTCCCGTCGCAGAGGAAGAGGAGTCCAGTACCTGGTGGACTGGGAGGGTTACGGCCCTGAGGAGAGGGCTTGGTTCCAGCTCGCCATGTGTTGGACCCCCGGCTCATCAGGGAGTTCCATCGGCGTAATCCCGAGCAACCGTCTAAAACCGTCACGTCGACGGGCAGAGACACAGGGAGAGTCTCTCCTCTTACCGTCAGCTCTTCAGAGGAGGACAGCGAGGGGCCGGCTTCTGATGAGGACACAGATTCCCACAGGGGGCAGGAGAGGGAGGCCGAGATAACTTTTTCAGATGAGTATTAATCCCACCCTCCTCTGTAGATTAGCATTTAGGGACGTCAGGAGCCATCCATTAAGGGGGGGGGGGTTCTGTCATAGTCTGCTCCATCATTCACCAGTAGTTTTCCATTCACCTGTTTTCCACACCCACTCGTTAGCTCACTCTCTTTCTCTTCTGCACCCATTAGCTTCTGCCAGTATTTAAACCCGCACCTTACACACACTCTTTGCCAGATTGTACTTTGCCTCATGCTTGTCTTTCCCGCGTTTGATACCAGGTTGCCTAGCCGGTTCCGACCCTGCCTGTCCTCGATCTGCCTGCTCTTCCTGCTCTGCCTGTTCTGCCTGTTCCCTGATCCTGCCTGTCCCTCGACTATCCTGTCTGGCCTGTTATCCGACCCTGCCTTTATCTACGCTGACTGCCTCGCTTACTCCCTGACTCTCTGCCTGTCCCTGACTCACCTTCTGCCCGCTGTCCTCCGGTGCGTTAAACTGCTCGGTTGGTATTCCTCAGATCCAGTGGAATCTCCAATAAAGTTTATTACCAATTCTCCTTGGTTTCTCGAGTGCTGCATTTGGGTTCTCCTTAAGGTTGTGACAACTTTAGTTTGTTTGAGTCCCAAACCCTCGGTAATAATCTTCCTCAACCAGTCAAATTGACCAAATATTTGGACTGTTTTAAGCTGTTTTTTCAAACCCATCTTTACAGCCACAGCCAAGTCACACAATCAATCTGGTGAGGCTGCTTTATGGTTCTTGAGTTTCATCTCCATTGCTTCAGAAGTTTCCATCACATTCATTACTTAATGATTACTGCAGGTGTTAACATTTGATCGGTTGCTGCACGACTTCTAAAACATAATGAGGTTGAGTAAAGAAACATTTATTTTTGACTAACTTAAAACAAGACTATCCAAGATGTGTTTGTTTATGTGCAGAAGAAAAATATAGTAAATTGGACAAAAGCAAAAAGAAGATTTAAGAGAATATATTTTTATTGAGACATTAAGCATAAATGACTTGAGGTTAAGGCTGAAAATGTAATAATTACATTTAGCATTATTATGATTGGGCGGCACACATTTCAATCAAGTTTTAAATCATAATGCAGTACATGAAAGAACAATCACTTGTAAATCTATATGGGATTACACAGTGGTTAATACCACAATTAAAACCACTTCTAACCCATAAGGCAGGAAAAATAAATGGATATTCTCAACTAGCCGTTTTTTTTAGTTTTCAAAAGAGGCCAACGGTTGGTATTTGATCTTTGATGCTCTGACTTTGTACAGGGCCACTGCACTGATCATGCCAACGGCTGCAAGAAGACATCCAACGATGAACACCAGGTTCAGATTCATGGGGGTCCCTGGAGGAAAATAGAAGAATAATTTAAATGTCAACATTCGGCTGTCCACAGAAACAACCAACCGTGAAGAAAAACTCAGATCATGTCAGTTACTGTGCTTATTAGGTATTTTACAATATTATATATCATGTGTTTTTATGCCATATATTGCCAAAGTGCTTTTATGTAACTTTCAACAATATGTTAAACCACAAGGAGAACTATGAAGTTCGCTAACCTAACTACTGTGAAATGATTTAATTAAGCATAACATTTTTTACCAAGTTGTGTTTCTTAATCTATGCATTTTTAAAGAAACTTGTTTGAATGGTGATTTTCATAGGAATAGATGTGTAGGCCAAACAAGTTACAACAGTATTACATTTCAATGGCTACGTTGATTGCCTCTGTTAAATCCCCAGTGTTTTAAGCAAGTTGAAGCAGTTACAACTTTACTTGTATTGGTTACTCACATTATCATATTACTAGCCATTATATAGATGAACACATGCTAGTAAATACATTTATTTTTCTAACTTTATATACCTGTACATGTTAAAGTATAATGAATTATACTAACTGCATACCTGTACACATGTGTTTTACCACATGTATTTAAGCTGATAATCCATTATATATGTACATATTGCACAACATATTCACATCACCACATATTTACATTACAATTCACATTACATGCTTCCTCTTCCTTCCTTCCTACATAATTAACCATAATAATGTAAAATATCATTGTTTCGCTGATGATACTCAGCTTTATATCTCCATTTCACCAGGAAACCCCAGTTCTGTAAATGCAATTCTAATTTAGGAGTAGATGTAGATGTGTAATCCAAACAAGTTGTACTGTACGTTTATAGAGTCCGAAAAACATGATAAAAATACATAGAGCCAAGTATCTAGATGCGCTCTGAGTAGTCAGCTGTATGGTAGCATAAGAGTCTGCCAGTGTCAGTGCAGTCTCTTTTCCTAAGTCCTGATGAATCCTCTTTCACATATTTCCTTAAGGAAAAGTGGTTAGGAAAAGACATAGGACCTGATTTTCACTTTTCAACCGTAGCCTCAAAGTAGGCAGGTATTCTGAGGGAAAACGTACCTGGGCTCCCGGTGCTCTCCGCTGATCTCTTCAAACGCAGAGGACCCTGGGAAATGAAGTGCCTGGCGCTCTGAGTGATGGCCTCTCTCTTGCGGTGATGATGATGCCCAGTAAGGGGGGAGTTGATGCACCCCTGTGAGCACCTGGTGCCGCTGCTCCCTGCCTCACACATCAGCACTGAACAGCTGATGTACACCTGAACGCAACACAACACGCTGTCATTACATCAGCAGATATACAGACTTCTCTCAGAATAGCAGAGTTGTTGTCAGAAACACCTTACAATATCTTAAAATACTTTTACTTAAATAACATTTTGAATGCCAGAACTTTACCTGCATCAGAGTATCCCTAAACTGTGGTATTGTTTATTTTTATTAAGTAAAAGATCAGAGAGGTTCCTCCACCAGTAGAGTATAACCTCATATTTCATTCTTCACCTGGTCGTGCAAGCCGATGAACTGGAAGGCCTCCATGCTGAACCTGAACTCTCTGGGGTTGGCCTTCGGATGCACTTGAACTGTCTGATCAACAGTACACCTAACAGCAACAAAAAAAAAATATATATAAGAAATGTTGCCTCTGCCTCCATGCCTCACAAACGGTGCTAAATGTGGTGTCTGATGTATTAAAAGGAAATCTTCAGACACAAATAGCCACATTTCAACCATTAAGTGTATTTTTAGATACCTTTTTCAACCTTTTTCGAAACATACTATGAAAGCAAAGTAGACCAAAAACAACGCATACCAATGCATCGTTATTATTATTTTGAATTAATAAAAGTGTGTACCTGACGGAGGACTGCATATCGATGTGTTTGACTGATTAATTCCCATATAAATCCACTGCCTACAAACATCTCATTCACACCGATACGGGCAGTTTAGTTACACACCTCTCTAATGAAAGAAAACCAATGCATTGGTAAAGATATGCCACTAGATGGCGTGCTCATGCCTACCCATTCTCGATGATGGAGTATGTTGGCCAGTAGTTGGGGGTGTCATATGGCGCGGCGCTGCAGGACTCCACAAACAGCTGGGTGTTGTTGACGGTAGATTTGGCCTCTATCTGCATGTAGATCCTTTCCGTTACATCGTACTCCAGAGGGTACAGCCCTGGATCAACCATTTTTCCATATTGGCTGTTTGGGTAGAACTCAAACTCATAGGTGAACTTTCCGAAGCCTTTATCCCACACCACCACATTCCTCCTGTGTGCTGTGAAGCCCTGCGTCACGTTCCCACGTTTGGGGTACTGGCAGTAGAACTGGACCTCCAGCAGGTGGTTCCTGGTGATCAGGTCGTGTATGTTGTCCACCGTGGTGATTTCATTTTTGAAAACCAGGTTTTCTTCATCTTCCTGCAGAGTTAAACGGGACATATTGTGTTCACGTTCATATATGTATTTGGGGTGTCAACTAAAACATGTTTTCATGCTTTAATGTCAAACGTGTAATTTTACTGTCTTTTATTTCTGAAGACCAAGTCCCGAAAAAGCCCTATGACCCTCATCGTGTTTCCCCTCTAATTGTTCAATCCGCATTCTCCTAATAAAAAGCAACAATAGTTTAGAGAAAAACCCGGCAGGTGATGAAACAGATGCTCTATTGTTACCTCGATCTGAGTGCCGCAGGCGTTGAGGGGTACGACCGCAATGATGTGCGAGCTGTTGGACTTCGTCTGCAGGTTGCAGGCCGTGTTGCTGGGGTCATTGAGGCGTAAATGATCCTCATGAAGTCCAGGGAGAGAAGATCTGGTAACCTCTACTGTCATTGAGGACTCATGGCAGGTCACATGGGATTCAACTAGAGCAAGAGATAAATAGTTTACAAAATAAATAGGCCTACACATTACACTGATGGTTCTAGTCTACAGGTGGCAGTTGTTTTGTTTAAACATCTACACCCGGAGTGGCCAACCCGCGGCTCTCGAGCCGCATGCGGCTCTTTGCCCAGTCTCATGCGGCTCCTCCGTTCATATCGAATTTTAATTGTGTTTAGTTTTTTTTGCTCATATGTATCCCAGTTCACAAAGGGTTAACAACACACAAGTTCCAGCCCAATCGTTACACAGAGTTTTCAACAAAGAAGTGCTTTAGCCAATCAAAATGCAGATCCTGCAGTACTGGAGGCGGGCTTTACTGCACTCGCGATGTGACAGTGAAGGGAGAGATCTGCTTCCGATTGGCAGAAATATAACTCAGATAAAACCGTAATAACTCAATATAATGTTGTCAAATCAAAACGGTAATAATTTGCAGTTGTATACGTGTATGTGAGAAGGCCTGCTCCCGGAAAGCTGGCTACTGACACAGAAGGGCTCCCGAATTTGGTGATTCGCGGTAAAGAAATAAACAAGAGAGAAAGTGCATCTCTGTCAGCAGAGCTTCTGTCAGTCAGAGGGTTAGGTAAAAGTTGAGATGTCATGTGAGGAGAATTAACAAAAATACACTTTATTTATTTTCATTTATTTTTAAATAACTGTCATGAATCTGTGTGTGAGATACAGACAGGGAGAAAAAAGTCGCAAAGATCGCAAATGTGCCCTTTCATGCATTTGAGCCCCTTCCACATTCTCTGCACATTTCAAGAAGCAACATGCATAGTAAGATAACTACTTTTTTCAAATGTTTTGAACTGAGAGTTTGTGTGTGAGACACAATATTAATGGTTGACTATAACTGGCCTCTGGTCTTAATAGGAGAGGTTTAAGTCAATTTCTGTCAATATCATGGACTGTGACATTTATAGGAAATCTGGCTGAGCGGAGGTATGTGTTTCTGTATGTGAGTGTGTGTGTATGTGTGTGTGTGTGTGTGTGTGTGTGTGTGTGTGTGTGTGTGTGTGTGTCAATTATTGTTCATTTTTAGATTTTCATTTTGTATGTGTGAGAGATAGAGAGGGGCACATAGAGGAAGAGAGTGAGGGAGCACACAGAAAGGCTGAGAGCAAAAGAGAGAAGGAGAGAGAGAGAGGTCGGGGGACATACACCCAGCATGTGTGCCTGTGTGTACTGTATGATGTGGCTCTTTGCAGTAACACAGGAACATTATTGGCTCTTTACCTCTGATTGGTTGGCCACCCCTGATCTACACAAACACAACGGCCTTGCAAAAGTCCATGAAGCCACTAATGGAATGTAACCTTTTGGTTATGATATAAACGCCTTTCCAGTTGTAGATCTACTATAAAATGTTGATGTTAAACAAAAATCGTTCTTACTTAGTCTTTGACCGATGTTCACCAGAACGCACCTCATCTCGGACTGATAGATGCCGGACCTGAAAAGCATCAGTGTCCAAAGATTTATCTTTTTTTAGGGAGGCATTTGCTTCTGACTGTATTATTTAAATCCTAATTTGTTATTTTGATTAAAAAAGAAAATTGTTACTTACTGTGGAGATTCGGGGACGTGGACATGGTCCTTGGCTGGAGGGGGGAGGGTAGAGGCGAGACTGTAAAATATGTGAAAAGTGAAATCAATATTTAACACACACAAATGCATACTAATTGTATCAAATAGAAAATAAATGTAAGGCTCACTCACTCGATTACTGATTCAACAGCAAAGCAGATTGGGTAATGATCTCCCACATCATCAGGGCCAGGCGTCCACCTAATGACAAAGTCTCCATGTGTGCTTCTGTGCTTGGTGATATTCAGTGGCCCACTGATGATGATATCATGTAGTCTGTGTGAAAACAAAAGAAAGAAACCAGGTATTTCCTTCTTATCGCTGAAGTTATCTCACTAGCAGAAATGCTGATAATGTTCTGACGCCACAAGGCAATACTCATCACGTTGATTCTCACTTACGTTGCATGTGAAGCTTGTGCTCGAACTCTGATCTCCACTTCTTTGTTGACCTCGGCATTGATGTGTTGTCCATTTTCAGGTGTTGGGTGCACAAACTTTGGCAAGTAGAGTCCATCAACACACGAGGGAGCAGGTGGGTCCACTGCAGTTAAAAAAAATAGTTCTTGATCAGTTTTTTAAAACCACTTTTTAATTGTCTGTGGCTCAAATGTCAAAGCTGTCACAGCAAATTATATTAATTAGCTGTCAAAGGCGAAATATCTGCAGCTTTAAATTATATGTTTTTTTGTATTTCTTTCCTGATATTTTGGGCGGAATAGGGTTACGGTTAGGGTTTTCAGAAGAACTAAAAAGTCTTTATGCAGGTTTAGAACATGTACCTTCTTCTTAGTAGAGGACGTTGCAAATTAGAGCTGCAAGAAGTGCATGACAATCTACACCCATTGAAGGCAGTGCAGCAACAGCTTTCCTGTAAGTATGGATTGAATCATTTAGGACAAGTAAAACCTGACTCACCAAGAAAGGAGAATTGCAAAGGCAGTTTACTGAGAGGAGGCGTGGTGCCATGCATGGGTCGGTTGTCTTTGGTGGTTGGATATGTGTGCAGCCGCGGTTTGGTCTTGGTGGGTGGGAGTGAGGCTGATGTCAGACGTGGGGTCGGTGTGGTAGTAGTATGATGATGCCAAGACCATGTGGTTGGGGTTGGCGCTTCAGTCGTGGTTGTTGCTGAAGTTGCACGATGAAGCCACCACCATGGGGTTGTGTTTGGCACTTCAGTTGTGGTTGGTGCTGGAGTTGGACTATGATGCCACCACCATGGGGTTATGTTTGGCACTTCAGTCGTGGTTGGTGCTGGAGTTGGACTATGATGCCACCACCATGGGGTTATGTTTGGCACTTCAGTCGTGGTTGGTGCTGGAGTTGGACTATGATGCCACCACCATGGGGTTATGTTTGGCACTTCAGTCGTGGTTGGTGCTGGAGTTGGACTATGATGCCACCACCATGGGGTTATGTTTGGCACTTCAGTTGTGGTTGGTGCTGGAGTTGGATTATGATGCCACCACCATGGGGTTGGGGTTGGCACTTCAGTCGTGGTTGGTGCTGGAGTTGGATTATGATTCCACCACCATGGGGTTGGCACTTCAGTCGTGGTTGGTGCTGGAGTTGGATTATGATTCCACCACCATGGGGTTGGCACTTCAGTCGTGGTTGGTGCTGGAGTTGGATTATGATTCCACCACCATGGGGTTGGCACTTCAGTCGTGGTTGGTGCTGGAGTTGGATTATGATTCCACCACCATGGGGTTGGCACTTCAGTCGTGGTTGGTGCTGGAGTTGGATTATGATTCCACCACCATTGGATTCTGTTTGGCGTTGCAGTCCTGAATGGTGCTGGAGTTGGATTATGATTCCACCACCATTGGATTTTGTTTGGCGTTGCAGTCCTGAATGATGCTGAAGTTGTGGTGGGGTATGTATGGTTCAAGGCTCGTTTACGCCTCATGGGAATCAGTGGAGCCTTGTAGGATTGGGTTCCATCGGTGTAGGACAGAGAGATGGGCCTTTGCGGAAAGTCCTCCACCACCAACTCAAATCCAAAAACACTTGGGTTGGCGATGGCATTGCGGTAATGTAAGGAGCAGGAACCCTAACAATGTAAACATTCAGACATTTAGTGAGGCACAGGATCAGTCAGGTATTGGAAAATGTATAAGGACATTGATTTTTAATTCACAGACCTGATCCAAGACAAAGCCTGAAGGTTGGTTACATCCGCTGCACTCTATGTTTCTGATATTTCCATATCTGCAACGAACTGTGTCTCCATCAGGGTCGAAGGACATCAGCTTGTAGGTCCGTGGGCAGTTCTGGGGAACTCTTGAAAGGACACATTAACAAGAATAAGGAACACTGTTCTGCCCATCATCCCATACACAATTAAATCATCAAAGTCATAACATGTGAGTAGATAGACAAATACAATAAGTAATATAAAGACAGTGACTTTTTTGACTGTAATACATTATAAGAAACAATTAATTAGTGTTTTTTATTGGTTTGGTTGAATTATTTGTTGTTCTTTCTTCTTGGAAAGATGGAAATAAAGTTATATGACATGAGCTACAAGCACATATGTAGTCAAAGTACGGATTTTCTGAATTGTTCCAATGTCATTTGTGATTTCTTTAGACATACTGTTGGAAAACAATCCCATTGATTCTGGTATTTATGGACTTTCAAGGGTAACGTCCACAGTGTCTTCTTTTACTGCCATTGGGGGGAACTAAAAAGGTTATTCAACAACATAATAAAAGGTTAGACAAAACCTTTCATGCTTACTTCAGGGAACTTACCGTAGGAAAGGTAGAATGGCAATGTCTGGGGATCTGTTTGGTTTGCCAGTGTCAGATCTTGTTCCCAAATCTACTTGAGTTAGAAGTCTCCAACCTGAAACGCTGTTTCGTGTTTTGGTCCAACAACAGCTACTTGCCCTGATAGGTGTGGAAACAAAACTCTTGAAATACTGCATCTTACAGCTGCTTCTTGTTATGTTTGCAATGCAATTCTGGAGACTCCACAAATATAACATTAGCGTGATTTGAGTCTGAGTCAGAGAAAAAGCTCACCTCATCTGAAACGGTTTGTCAGTTGTGACTTTTCTTTGTTGAACTGTTTCTGTTTCACACCATTGTCTGTTAGATTGTGGTGCATTGGTGCTCCTGTCAATTGTGCCTCTCTGTTGATTAGTGACATAGCCACAGTCGTTGTTGTAACAGCTCCAGGAATGGGAATACTGACACCCATCATAGGTCGCCCTGTTTCGAAAGTCCACCTTTGAAAATAACATATACATAGTTAGATGATTTACTGAAGTTAACTTTTTTAATTCACATTTTGTCTATTTTGTAAAAATCAGTAATATAATTATACAATACTGCCAATTTTAAGAAAGGCGTGTATCTTTTTTAATCACTGTACTTTCTGAAAGTCTTTCTGCCTTAGTCAAATAAAGCACACGTTAAAAAAAAGTAAAACCAATAATGTTGCAATATGATTAAATCACTTATTGGTTCTTGAGAATTGTAAAAGGTAATCAAATCCCTATTCATAACAGTGAAAGTAGAACATACACATCAGAAAAAGGTAAAGACGATAACCAGCACCGACTAAACTACAGTTGAAAGATCCAATAAAATTAAAAGTAATCGTCAGATATCTAGTCAGATACTAGAATTACACTTTCTGGAACCCATTTCTTCTTTTTTTTGGCCAATGGGAAATTCCACAGTATTCTTCATTTAACGTGATAAATCTTGCAATCTTTCTTGCTTGAAGTTTTGTTTTCAATTCTGAAAAAAAAGTCTAATTTTGTTCTAGAATTTTTCTAAGACTTCTGAATTTTTTTCTCAGTTCCCCGACTTTTTTCTCTGAATTCAGATTTTTTTCTCCAGATGTAGATTTCTTTCCTCAGAATTCTGACTTTAATATTTGAAAAAAAGCACTTTTGGTCAGATCTAAATAAAAATAAATCACCTGTGACCCTAATCTTACTCCAAAAAGGTATCATGTATTTAATAAATAACATTAATTAGTGTAAATAAGTCTTTATTCTACCAAAAAATGTGATTACTCAAATCGATTACGCATCTTTTTGATGAACTCAACAACCTTCAAAAGCTGAAAATCAAGGTGAACATTTTTTAAACATAGTTGCAGGAAAAAATAAGGTTAAATATATTAGGCAAAATTGTCATATTCTGCAAGCATAATCAGAGTAATCAAACCCAAATAAAATAACAACGGCAATAGTATGAATACATTAGTTAATTGTTAACTGATGCATGGGTTTAAAAGTTTCTCTCACCCTAAATGATCCATCAGGGTTTCTTCCTTTGTAGCTATAGGTCACGGTTCCCCCGTAGTGATGTGATGCAGACGCCAGTGAGACCAGCTGAAGCGGGAGCAGAAGAGCGGCGGCCATCTTTTCCTGAATTCACCTCTGTCTCCAAGTATCTGCTGCTCACATCCACCTGCAGCATCCTTTTATACACACCTGGCCATGGTCCCTCCTGCCAAGATCTTTAGGAAGAAGCCGGGTGCAAAACTGGTTCCACAACATTTGACAATGCCTTAATTAAAACACCCACAACTACAACAAAACTTTTCATGAAAATAATGTTTGCTATGTGGACCTATTGTTGTATTTGCGAATGTAAAGGAATGGAAACCATGAGCAAAACTATTGTTGTATAAGAGTGCTTTAAACTGATATTGTTGCATTAAATGTACTGAATGGAGGGAAAATGTCAAAATAAGTTGGTATGCAGTCAAAAATAATTGCATTTGTTTCTTCTTCTGGCCACCCTTTTACCATTTGCAGGATTGGTCAATGTTCAAGTGCAAAAACAATCCATGAATTAAATGTTATTAAACATAATATTACACTTCAATTCCCCCCCCCCATATTTTCTGCAATAATCCAAAATCCCATTGGCTTTGTGTGGAGGGATCCAGGTAGATGCTGCTTTCAGAGTCCACTACAAAACAATGTCATCACTGCAAGACTTAATTAACTAGAGACAAATAATAAAAATGCCTTTTTTCTAGTTTACAGGATTAGTCGACATGCAAATGCATTAACAATCTATCTCTAACAAAACACTTCCTCCTCACATCTCTTGACAACTTAACAATTGTGAAATCCATATGGTTCTTCTTTCGTCTTTCATCTTAGCTGCATCACTTCTTGAAATGTAGGTATCTTCCTTTATTGCTATGCTAAGTTCCTCACTGTCACATTAAGGAGAGGCAAAATAAAGCAGCTGGAGGCACAGAGAAAGAGTTTTGATTAAATGTTGATTAACTGTTATGCTGATTAAACACACTCTTTTTTCCCTCCGCTTAAACACCGACTGTCAGTTTATTGGTCTGTTAAACATAAAATACGTCATGCATGCAGCGCTCCATTAAGAAGAACTATAGCCATTTCCTGCTTTGGCTTCCTGTAACGTTAATAATGAACACAATCCTGTCCTTACTCTCGGTTACATTTCCCTATTCTCGTTATTTTCATTCCTCGTTGTTATGATTCTCAACATTGGCCTTTTGTTCATACCCTGCTTCGACTTTAAAGTCATCACACTTTTGTAGTTCTCCTCAATCATCTGTAATTATCTTCCCCAACCTTCAAATCATATTTTTGGGTTTATTTTTCAGAATCTTTAAACAGTTTTAGTTTGCTTGTTTAAACCCATCTTTACAGGCCCCCTGATTAATCTTTAACCCTGCCATTTGTTATTAGCCTTTATTTAACCAGGTGAAGCCCCTTGAGATCAAAAGATCTCTTTTTCAAGGGTGACCTGCAGGACATTAGTTACACATGTAACATAAAAACAACAGAACAACAATAAGGAAGACATACAACATAAATTACAGGGTACAGTTTACAAACTCTATTCACAGTGACAGGTACCATGAGTATCAAACAGCATGTCACCCAGCTGAGTTTTAAAATGATGCAGGGGAACCAAAGTGCTCAGTTTTAAACATGTTTGCAGACTGTTCCAAGTTAGTGGAGCTGCACAACTAAAAGCTTTCTTCCCTAAGACAGTCCTAGCACTTGGCACATTTAATAAAACAACATCATGAGATCTCAGGCAATAAGTACTTTCAATTCGTCGAGAGATCAGAGAGCAGATATAAAAAGGTAGTTTACCCAACATGGCTTTATAAATGAACATGTACCAGTGACTGAGCCTCCGTACAGTTAGTGAAGGCAGACCTGCCTTGGCATACAGGGTACAGTGATGAGTAAGTGCTTTACAGTTAGTAACAAATCTCAGAGCACTGTGATAGGCGGCATCTAACTGTTCCAGGCAATGGGCAGGTGCATTCATATAGATCAAATCACCATAGTCCAGCACAGGTAAAAAGGTCACAGAGCCTTTTCCTGGCCTCAAATGAGAAACAGGACTTGTTTCTGAAAAAGAAGCCTAGTCTAACCCTCAGCTTTTTAAGCAGATGAATGACCTGAAGTTTAAAAGAGAGACAATCATCAAGCCAGATACCTAGGTATTTATAACTGGTAACCACTTCGAGTACTTGTCCTTGCATAGTAACAATATCCAAAACAGTGTCTGGTGTCTTTTTAGCTTTAGAAAAGAGCATTACCTTGGTTTTTATCAACATTTAAAAGAAGCTTAAGCTCAGAGATCTGAGTCTGAATAATGTTAAAAACAGCCTGTAATTTAACACCAGCCTCCTGAATGGAGGGACATGCACAGTACATCACGGTATCATCCGCATAGAAATGTAAAGTAGCTTCATTCACATTTTCACCTAAACTGTTGATATATATGGATTTGGTTCTCTCTTGATTGCATGTGCATGTGTATTCTGTATAGTGTGTATAACTGTGTGTGTATTGCGTGTGCATCTACCTGTATAATGTGTGTGTGTGTGTGTGTATGAAAAAATAAAACAATACAAGCCAGTGAAAAAATGAATTAATAAACGTTAATCTTTTTATTCTTTTATTGCACTGTGTTTTCTATAGTAGTGTCTCCTTCTTATTTCACATTTTGCACCTGTGTGAAGTACTCTGTAACTTTGTGTACTGTGCTATACATATAAAGCATAACCAATAAGTACTTATATAGTTACTTGCCTTTATTTCACTTTCACTTTCTAAGTGAAAAACAGACATATGAGATGGAAAGTGTTGAGAAATTATTGCGATGTTCCTGCAGTACACGTCATAGTGCGCTACAACATTCCTCATCTGCCATCTCTTGATGTTATCTCTTGTCTTCGGGTATATCCAGTGGTGTAGTGGGCGTTAGACGCGGGGGTACGCCGTACCCCCACTTATTTGGAGCATGATCTTTTTTTAATAGTCTAATAAATATAAAATCATTGCCAGTCTTATCAGTTGCAAGTGTGTATTTGTTGTAATAATGACAAAAACATAATACATTTCACAGTAGTGGCCTATAATAAAAAATAAAAACGATTTCCTTCAAAAATGATGATTCGTCATCACGCTCGTGACCCCGCGGCGAGCTGGGGGTGTGTCAGTGACACACCCACGGCCAGCTCACCTGCCGCCGATTTTGCGGCAGCTCTTTCCCTCAAGAACGCTAACGAAAAAGCTCTATAATGGAAGGAAAACGTTTTTTACTTGACTTCTTTTCTAAAAAGAATATATTTCACAAGAAGAAAGAGGCTAGCAGCACCGAAGCTACAAGTGAAGCTGCTACTAGTACTACATCATCAGAAGGGCCGCCTAAAGACGTGAATAATGCTAGCTAACGTGCACGTTAGCTGCGCTAGCAACGTTCCCCTGGCTAGCTCAAGCTCACCTTTCCCAGAGGTGAGGACGGAGGAGATGTGGCGGAGGAAACAAGAGGCTACCCGTGGATAGACTGCAAAGCTGGGAAACTGGGCTGCTGTTCATCCATTTCGGATTTATCAGTCTTCAAAACGCAAGGTGTGTGTGTGTGTGTGTGTGTGTGTGTGTGTGTGTGTGTGTGTGTGTGTGTGTGTGTGTGTGTGTGTGTGTGTGTGTGGTGTGTGTGTGTGTGTGTGTGTGTGTGTGTGTGTGTGTGGTGTGTGTGTGTGTGTGTGTGTGTGTGTGTGTGTGTGTGTGTGTGTGTGTGTGTGTGTGTGTGTGTGTGTGTGTGTGTGTGTGTGTGTGTGTGTGTGTGTGTGTGTGTGTGTGTGTGTGTGTGTGTGTGTGTGAGAAGCAGCGCTGTCTGCTTATTTGCAATGTAGGCTAGGCCTAATCAGCATAATTTCAAGTCCAGATTCAATGTTTGCATTAGTAGGCTATATTTTTCGTTTCGTTTATTTAATAAGTTAATTTCAGGACAACTTTGGGAATTTTTTTGTTTGTTATGAGTTTTAAATAGATTTTGAAAGTGGAGATAGAGAGAAGCAGCGCTGTCTGCTTAGTTGTAGCTTATGCAATTTAGTCCTATAAATTGTTGTAACGTATATGCCAGTGTGTCCATGGTTTTGAGTCTGTGTGTGTGTTGAGCGCAGCGCCGTCTGCTTTTTGAAGTACAGTAACTAAAGTAGGACTAAGCATACCGGTAGTTTCTGTGGACCTGTCTGCCCGTTTTGTGAGTGCACTGCGCGCGTGCGCACTTGTGTGGCATTGTTTGGGATGACCTAATTAAAATAGCGTCCCCCCAGTAAAAAAATCCCCACTACACCACTGGGTATATCTCATATTTAATCTGGTTTCTGTTGTACGTAATCCTGTAAAATCGTTTTACTACCGCTCTATTATCAATGCCTATGTTGTTTATGCAAGCATCTGTAAAATCTCCGTCCTTTGCAAGGAATTTGAAGCAATCGCACCTTTTCTTGTATTGGTTACTCACATTTATATATATGTTACGGTCCTTTTTATGGATGTACACATCACAGTGAATACATTTGTTTTACTACGCATAGTTTACCTGTACAAATCACAGTAGGCCTATGAACATGTTCGTTTCCACCTTTTTAAGCATGTTGAATGTTTGGAGGCTACTATTGTTTTACACATTCGGAATAAATCAAATCAAATAAGCTGATAATTCATCACAGTACATATATGTATACAATCTTCTATATATATACATATCTACCTATATACAGTGGAGGAAATACGTATTTGATCCCTTGCAGATTTTGTAAGTTTGCCCACTTACAAAGAAATTAACAGTCTATAATTTAATGGTAGCTATATTTTAACAGTGAGAATAGAATATAACAAATTAAATCTAGAAATTGACATTATAAAAGATAAAAATGTATTTGCATTTAACTGTGGGAAATAAGTATTTGATCCCAATGCAACAAACAAGCATTTGTGTTAGCATGTTGCCTCTGCAGGTGCTTGGATAGGTTTGATGTTGTTGTGTTTGCAGCAGTGTACCTTACCGTCACATTCCTGTACTTTCTTCTGACACATTTAAAATAATGGGCATACCTCCACCCCTCG